TAAATCCTTACATTGTCCTATCAAGATTATGATTAGGGTTGACCTTGTTTTGTAACGTTTGGAAACACATATTCTTGAAAAGTTCTGAACAAGATCCTGATTGAATCTTTGCAGGAATAGTCAGTTTCTTATGTTGACTGATCCTGTTATTTTCTTGTTAAAATCCTGATCTGATCTGGTTATCACCCCTGACAGGATCCTGATTCGAGAATTTGACCAAGATCCTTACAAGAACCTGATAAATTTTTTTCAAAATCCTCTCTCATAATCTTGTGAGGATCCTCTATACGATCCTGAGAAAATCCTGATAGGAACCTGAAATCTCGACTCAGAAAAATATCTGAGCAGGAACTTGAAAAAATCCTAAACAGGATCTTGTTTCACCTCGACAAATCCTGGAAACAGGAATTTCTAGGATTCGAGACAGGATCCTGAATAAAACTTAGCAGGATCCTTGAGATTCAGGATCCTGACAGATCCTTTCAGGGTTTCTCAAGGAATGAACAGGATTGAGACTAGGGATGGATTCCGTCAGAATCATCAGAATCTGTCAGTATCGAAGAAGAGCCGCCAGGATCCATTAGAAGTCACCTGGACGCTATGTTTCAAAGGAGTTTGTGTTGATTTATGCTCAAAGACTATTAGTCAGAATAATTTGACAATCATCAATGGTATTTGCCAGACTCAATACTCAGAATTTGAGAATTTAAGCTTCAACTTGAAAACCTGTGGTTAATCTTATGCATACTTGTGTATAGGTTCAAAATTTCTTTTTCTCATACCGGAATACCTGGAAATACTGGAACATTTAAGTATAGAGAAAAAGAAGAATTAAAGCAATGATTCACCCCTTATATTCTTTGATTTAATATCCGTAGGAATATTTTTAATTAAAATTATCTAGTCTTATGAGATATAGAAGCTGCCAGATTGAAACAAATAATTGTGTTTTTGCTGATAAGAGCAAGTTGATTCAATTGTAAAACTACTCTTAAAAATCATATGAGAAGTAACTACGCACTATTAGTGAAATTTTTTATTGGTGCATTCGATATGAAAAAACATTGATACAACCATAGTACTAACAAGCAAGAATCTATATGTCTTCTAATATAGTTGAGTATAATTTAATTTAGTATATAAATCAACAAGGCTAGCTTTGGTTTCTCATAAATTTACCAAATCTAAGTCGTTATCAGAAATGATTTTTGAAATAGAAAGAATAATTTTATCTATCGTCTCCACCAGCTATAGGCGAAATACTCTTATAAGACTGAGTTTATTGATATTCGATATCTTAGATAAGCATGTATTCGAACAAACCTATGCTTGAGCTCCCCCCTCACAAACAAACTTTTTTATTTTTCCATGGGATTCCACCAAAATTTCAGAGAGTGTTAATCTTGGCTAGAATAGATTATGGTTAAAATATCTCCTGAAATCTGCGAGCCATTCACGAGTTATAGTCAATTCATTGGTCAAAAAACCCTTTACGCGGGGAAGGTTTTCAACATGAGGATTCGAACTAAGCATGTCGGGGTCTTTTTTAAATTGTAGAGTACACTTAGGGCTAGATCCTAATAGAGCCTGATTTTTTAATTTCCCCTTGTTTGCTTTTTAAAAAAACTTTTCTGAAAAGTGCTCAAATTCGTGGCCAAAAAATTGCTAATGAAAATCAAAGATCTAAGCTTTTTATTTAAGCAAAGGAGAAATTCAAAGATCGGACTCTATTAGGATCTAGCTCCAAGTGTCTGCTATATAGCAAAAAAACATTACCGCTTTTATATTGAGTCGTTATTGAGAAAGGTTTCCCCGCGTAAACAGTACACTGAAAAAAGCTGATTTTGAGAAAAACGAAAAATATGATTTTAAAAACCTTATTTTTTTCAATATAAAGGTTCAGAAAAGCCTACGTAATATCCTTAAATCTCATCATAAAATCAATCAACTATAGTGCATTCGAGAGTAGACACTTTGCTCTATCTAACGAGCTATGAATCACAAAATTGATAAATTTGACCAAAATTGACTTTTTCTGAGGGGAGGGGAGCACTCCTTGACACAAATGCAGAAAATGTTTTCCAAGGAGAGCTGTGTCACATACTCAGGATTGTGGAGAAGTTCTCAATTCTGTCATGCGAGATGCGGCATATCCTACGGAAGAAGTGAGCACTTCTCCAAATTTCTGGATATGTGACACTGCTGTCCAAGGATGAAATATGTAGCTGATTTCTTTTTTTGATTATGTACGTATTAGTATCCAATTGCAAAGGCTCTGTACCATGCTACAAAGAGAGGGATATTCGAGTTTTTTTAAAGTTTTTCCACGAAACATACAGAATGTAAG